CTCTAGCCCGGGCAACAGAGTGAGACTCTTGTCTCAAAAAAAAAAAAAAAAAAACCCTACTCAGGCACCTCTGCCTCACTGAAGCTTTCCCTGACCCACCTTTCTTACCGCTTCTACCTTTGTGCTCAGACTGTGGGGCCAGGCAGTGAGAATCAGAGTAACAACCAGGTCTTTAGTTAAGATAAAGCAGCGCTCATTCAGGTGCCCTGGTGTGCCAGGCCTTGGAATGGACACTGGCTCCCCTCCCGCAGGGCTCTACCCAGCTCAGAGGCAAGTCCTTACAGGCAGGACTGAACCCTCTTTCCTGGGGAGGAGAAGAGCTGGTTTGCCACCGAGGAGGTGTTGGGGACCTGATGCCAAAGCTATCCCACCTAACCCAGACAACCTCTTCCCCAGGCATGGCCCAGGCCCTGGGCCCTGACACCCCATTCACCGCCATTGCTGGCAGTGAGATCTTCTCCCTAGAAATGAGCAAGACTGAGGCGCTGACGCAGGCCTTCCGGCGGTCCATTGGCGTTCGCATCAAGTAAGCATAAAACCCAGGGCAGGTGCCAGCTCCCGGTCACCTGGGGTGACCCTCTGCCCTGGCCAGCTTTGCCCAAGGGCTTGTGGAGCTCCTGCTTGCTGAGGGCCCAGGCAGTGGGCCATCTCCTCAGATCTGCTCTCTGGCTAGGGAGGAGACGGAGATCATCGAAGGGGAGGTGGTGGAGATCCAGATTGATCGGCCCGCGACAGGGACGGTGAGTATGAGTCTACTCCCTGCGGAGGCCAGCTCCAGCCTCAGGGTGGGAGGGAGGAGGTGTCCTTCTGCACTGAGGTCAGATTGGAGCCATCTGCATGCCTACAGCAGGGGCTCAGTTGAGTTGACAGTGGTTTATCCATTTGCGAGGGACGTTGTGAACAATTAAAACCAAAGTCATGGGATAATAAGAGAGAAGATCTGGAAATTCCTCAAAGTGAATTCCTAACGGTTACTCTTAAAAACCTGTTCTGTGGGTGGAACTTCGAATTGAGTGCCAAAAGGTGTGTCCTTTCCAGCTTACATGGTGGATGTGATTCGCTCTCATTTTTTAAGCGAAGGATTTTTTTAGGCTTTTTATCGTAAAATAAATCAGGTTCAAAGAAACATAAAATAAGCATGTAGTGTAATAAATTATCATGAGGCTAATGCCCTTATAACCACCACCAAGGTCAAAAACTAGAGCTTTGGCGGGCGCGGTGGCTCACACCTGTAATCCTAGCACTCTGGGAGCCCGAGGCGGGCGGATTGTTTGAGCTCAGGAGTTCGAGACCAGCCTGAGCAAGAGCAAGACCCCGTCTCTACTAAAAATAGAAAGAAATTAATC